TATAACTGGGTCAAATGGTAGGTTCATTTGTAGTTTTTTATGAGTTCTCCACTTTGCTTTCCATAGGGGTTGAACCAGTTTGCAGCCCCACCAGCAGTGGATGAGTATTCCCCTTTCCCCACATCCTCTCCAACATTTGGTATTATTTGTTCTCTTGATCTTAGCCAGTCTGACTGGGGTAAGGTGAAATCTTAAAGTGGTTTTAATTTGCATTTCCCTAATTATTAGTGATGTTGAACATCTTTTCAGATGTTTCATAACCATCTTTACTTCTTCTTTTGAGAACTCTCTGTTCAGCTCCTTAGCCCATCTTTTAATTGGGTTGTTTCTTATCTCAGTTCTTTGTTTTTTGACTTAGTTTTATATTCTGGTTATTATACTGCTGTCGGATGTGTCAGTGGTGAAGATTTTTCTCCCATTCTGTGGGTTTCCTCTTTGCTTCCTTGGTTGCCTCCTTTGATGTACAGAAGCTTTTTAGTTGAATGAGGTCCCATTTGTTAATTCTTGCCCTTGTTTCCTGAGCAATTGATGTCCGGTTTAGAAAATCCTTCCCTACACCTATGTCTTGTAGGTTTTTCCCAATGTTTTCTTCTAATAGTTTCAGAGTTTCAGGTTTTACATTTAGGTCTTTGATTCATTTGGAATTGACTTTTGTACCGGGTGAAAGATAGGGGTTTAGTTTCATTCTTCTACAAACAGAGATCCAGTTTTGCCAGCACCATTTGCTGAACATGTTGTCTTTCCTCCAGTTAATGTTCTTGGCCACTTTGTCAAATATCCAGTGGCTGAAATTGCATTTATTCATATTTGGGTTTTCAATTTTGTTCCATTGATCTATGGGTCTATTCTTGTGTCAGTACCATGTTGTTTCTATGACTATAGCTCTGCAATACAGCTTAAAATCTGGTATAGTAATCACCCCAACATTGCTCTTAGTGCTCAGGGTTGCTTTGGCTATCCGAGGCCTTTTGTGCTTCCATATGAATCTTATGATAGTTTTTTCCAATCCTGTGAAATATGTCATGGGGATTTTAATTGGCATTGTGTTGAATCTATAAATGAGTTTTGGTAGGATGGTCATTTTCGCAATATTAATTCTTCCAATCCATGAGCATGGGAGGTCCTTCCATCTTCTGATGTCTTCCTCAATCTCTTTCTTTAAAGATTTAAACTTTCGTTCTCTTTAATGTCTTTGGTCAGGTTCATTTCAAGATTTTTTTTTTGCAGCTATTATGAAGGGGAATGTTTCCATGTGCTCTTTCTCATTGCTCTTTATTGGTATATAGAAAGGCTACAGACTTTTGTGGGTTAATTTTGTAACCTGCCACTTTACTGAACGTGTTAATAATTTTAGGAGTTTTCTAGTGGAATTTTTGGCATCTCTTAGATACAATATCATATCATCTGACAAAAGGGATAATTTGATCTCTTCTTTTCCAATTATTACTCCTTTAATTTCCTTCTCTTGTCTTATTGCCCTTGCAAGAGTTTCAAGTACTATGTTAAAGAGAAGTGGAGATAGTGGACAGCCTTGTGGGTTCCTGATTTCAGTGGGATTCTTTGTAATGTTTTCTTTGTTTCAATTTCATTAATTTCAGCCCTGATTTTTGTTATTTCTTCTTGTCTTCTGGGTTTGGGTTTCGTTTGCTGTTGCTTTTCAAATGTGTTGAGTTGCAATGTTAAGTCATTTATTCATGTTCTTTCCGATTTTTTGATGTAGGCACTTAGAGCTATAAACTTCCCTCTAAGGACCACTTTCAGCATGTCCCAGA